TTCCCAGGTCAATGACACAAGTTTAGAAAATGATCATCGTAATGCGGAATGTTTGTGTGAAGGTTTCTAAGTGTTAGAACAGAGTAAAGAATAGGTTCATATTGGTCAATATTTTATTGCCTTATAGGTGATGAAGAAGGTACTCATCTTGTCCTTTTCAAAGAATACAAGCCCAGCAACAGATGATGGACATAGAAAATGTAGTTTATATACACAATGGAGTACCACACAGGTCCAAAAAAGGATAAATTTGAGTCATTTGTAGAAAAATAGAAGGCACCTGAGACCAAATGCTAAGTGATATAAATTAGAAACAGGAGGCTGAGTTTTGCATGAGTTCGCCTATACGAACTTAATGTGTGATTTAAGGAGCATCAGAAAAGATGATAAGAAACAGGTGTAGACTGAGTGGCAATGAAAAGGGTAGCAGAAAGGGAGGAGAAGGGCAGCAGAAAAGGTTAGAGGGATACATTTGTATGGGCCAATAACAATATAGGAAGGCTTCAATGAGCTGGATTAGCATTAGAGCCACTTTAGTTTCAATCTGTGTTGGTATCATGTATGGTCAGTCACAGCAAGACTGCATACTTTTATTTTTCCAAGTTTTACCATCTTAATCTGTAAGGAGGTAATTATTAATCTAATAATTTTAAGTGGCACTGAAATAATGTGTATGAGACAACTAATGATGCTGGGTTTGAAATACATGGTATTTTCATTGTCTGCCAAACTACAGCAAAAAAAAAGCAGGGGAGCAAAGGATGGGCTCATGTGGGGGAAGGACAAAATCAAGCCTAATGCTAAAGCTGTTTGAAAGCATATTTTGTCAAGATAACCTCCCGCGGGGAGTGAAACGCACAGGGAATGAAATCACACAGAGGCAGCCTTCCTGTCAGTCTCCCGGCATAAATAGAAAACTCCCCCTAAATAACGCAGTTGGCTGGAGCCAGTAGAGTAAACACCACTGATGTTAAGTGCTGCTACTCAGCTTCACAAGAGTAAATGTTTCTTCTATTCAGGATCTCATGTTTAACACATAACAACGAAATAGGTACACAGTAGCCACAGCCCAGTGACTTGTGCCACATATTCAGTGTATCTATTTTCTTTTTATTGGGTGAGACAGGAAAGAGAGAAGGTAAAGACAATCCAAAACATTGTACTGTTCTGGTCTTTTAACTGGGAAGAACAATGCAAATACACAATAGGAATTGGGGTTAAAAGGCATAGAGTCATCTATTCTAGCAAACCTACTAATTAATGACGGCTGAAAATGAAAAACGGAAACACTCTCATTCCACCACGATAGTCGGTAAGAACAATGTATGATGTGTAAGAAGGACCCCACCTCACTCACGAAGCGGATTATTCTCCTGATGGCCCTCCTTCCCAGGGACCAAGTGCTGACACTTTCCAGCTCTCTGACCATTTGTTTCCAAAACAATAGCTTTAAACAAGGACAGCGTGGCTTTCGGTTCCAGTATGAGAAGTCGCACATGTATCAGCTACATCTTTCTGCCCATTTGTCTGGAAGGCTGCTGCCGGTTCCTAGTGCCGCAGAAGTTGTGACTGTCACTAAATAACTGGGAGAAAAGTGTAAAGCAACTGCAACTGCTGAGTGTGAAACCAGCACTAAAAATAGTGTTGTGAACACACAATCTTATGACTTTCAAGGTTAAAAATTGATATAAACTGCAAAATCCTGACCATGCATAGTTTGGAGATTAATTTTTAATCATTTATGAGATTACCAGTTTCAGGATCTTCTATCGTTCCTTTTGCAAAACTAGTAGAGCTTCTGTGCATCTCTTTCTTCAACAAAATATTCTTCGTGTCTGGAAATAATCAGTATTTTTTCTATTTAACATTTTGATTAAGAATTATACCCAAATGGAATTCATTACTATATTTTTCTTTGTGCCTTTATTCATTTATCTTGGATCAAAAGCAAATTACACACGCAATTATGATCTTGCGCCTGCTAAAGTAGACTTTATGACTATAAAATGGTGATCAAGAGGTATGCTAAATATTTAAAGTGAAAAACATTCCAGTAAAAGTCATATTACAAAGAATGACGGGAAAAGTGTGTTTGAAGTGAGGAGATATTATGATTACTTTGATGGGGATTAAGGGCAATGTGTCTCCTACTGTAATAAATCCTTTAAATCAAACATTCACTGTATCTTCACGCTTCACAGTCTAGAAGAAATATGATAAATCAGTTCTTGATATTGTCAATTATTTGTTACAAGTTGTTGCAGCATCACTCCATTATTTTACACTGACGGAGAGCTGAACGGTCACTTTATTAAATATATAACATTAGCCACCTACTTATTTATGACCTATGTAGTTCCCATATTTTTGTCATTTGAAATTTACTTAAACACTTGTGGTGCATTACTGCAACTGAGAGATAAGATGTAACCCCTTAAATTTTCATCAGCTCTATGAGATTAAGACCCCTCTCTCCCTTTCTTGAAAATACATTATCAACAAACATGTGTCACAATTCCTACTCCAAAGGTAAAGATGAATCAGTTCTTTTCATACTGTCAAAGAGTACCAAGCTCATACAAGACAGATCTCATGAAGTATCTATTTCCTTTGTCTTGCCGTGGTGGCATTGAGAATACAAGGTTCATGGAATGAAAATACAACTCAATGCAATTATACTTCTTACATTAGAAGACAGATTTTAGAAAATCCAGTCGTGTGTTTCTGAAGGGCACAGAATCTGAGCGGGCAAGGTCACGGTGATAGAAGCGTTTCTAGCTCCTCGCAGCTCTTCCCCGTGGAGGAGCCGGGGAGTGGGGCCGTCCTTGGCTATGCAAGGTATCCAAAGTCTCCAAATACGTGGCATCCCGACAGCCTTCGGTGTGTGCAGATCCTGACTTGCAGGCACCATGACCAGGTAATCTGCCTCCTTCCCATCCACACACGGAGCCAGACCTCTCTGAGACCTGATGCAGCCGAATCCAGAACGTACCAGTGCCCTTCCAAATAGACTTCCTGCCTGCGTGCACATTCAGTCAGTGCCAGCTTTAATCATGCTGCCACATTGCTGGATTGATTTGCCATCCATGCCTTGTGTTCCAACATTTCAGTCTGTGCTGTCAGTGCAATCCCTTAAAGTACATTATCTACTTTAAACATAAGTATGCACAAACTCCAGATTTCATCAATAAGATAAAGTTCTGGAATGGATAATCAATAACAGCAATAATTACAGGTTACCACTTAAAGTAAAACGAGCACTGTTGCCTCTGAAAGGACGCCCACGCTACTGTGTGTTCTGCAGGAAATCCTGCATCCTCCAGCCAGGGGAGCTCTGTCTCCTGGCCGTCAACCCTGAGACATCTGACAGGCAGAGGAGTGCAGCACGCAGGAGGAGGGGCATTTAGAGAAAATCCCTTCCAGGCTCTGCACAGACAGGTTGAAATGAGAGAGCAGGCAGAAGGATTAAGAGAATGAACAGGTAGACGTGGTGATCTTACAAAGGAGTCTGATCTCCAGAGGAGTAATTACAGGTGAGGATTGGAAGAGACCTAAAAGGAAGCAGCCTTTGCAGCAGCGATGACAAGAAACCACCCGGGAGCAGGCGTCAGAGGCGGGCTCCCGGCTGGAGTCAGTCTGAGGGAGAGGGCCTGCGGCTGCTGTGCAAGAACAGGGCCTCCCTGTGAGTGCTGAGGATGCGGGCCACAGCACAGGGAGGGCAGCAGGGGCACATTTTCCCTTTCCCTTCTTTCTTTTCTCCCATTCCCCCCAGTTCCCCTTTCCCTTTGAATCTTTTCTTCCTATTGCGCAATAACTCCCAATGATGCCTGCGATCGTAATATGTACCTAAAATGCACCAATAAACCTAATGTTTTTTTTAAAAAAATAAACACAAAAAAGATAAAATGCACATTTTGTGCACCTTACACTCTGGGGCTTTCAACAAACACTGCAGGATCATCTGCTATAAACCAGGGCTTGAGAGTCACTTCACTATAATTTTCAATTTATAAATGATTTATCAATTATCCAAAACTATATTTCCCCTCTCTGGTCCATATTTTTTCTCATGGTAATTAGCAGTAAAATAATCATGTTTGGTTTCCTACTTTACTGTTGGCCCTCATTCATTTGTTTGTATGTTTCGTGCTGACCAGCACCTTGCACTCTTCCCCTGACTGCAGCCCGGCCCTCTGATTTGGGCCTGGAGAGAAAATAACCTCACAAAAAGGAAGCAGAGCTGATCTTAGCGGGTAGTGCATCCCTGAAATCCCACTTACTGGAGTTCAAGGCCAGTCTGGGTAACTGAGCAAGATCCTGTCTTAAAACAAACATCAAAAGCAAGCAATCAAAACCAACCACCACCAACAACCAAACACAGCAGAGCATGAGCATTCAGGAAAGAGAAATGTCTGGCTCTCTGAGATCATGTGAGACCTGGAGCATGCAGGGGGCTGGAGCCTGGCAGAAGGATGAGGTCTGCAGCGGGGCCAGCCCCCGACGTCCAGTAGCCTGAACCGAAAAACCTGGAAGACCCTTTGCTCTGCTTCTTCCTGCAGAGCTGGGAGGACACTGACACTCCCAGGAGCTCACCACACAATTTTAGTTACTCTGTATCAAGTAGTGTCCTGTGAGAACTGAGACCCAATTAGGAAAGGAATAAGAAAATTTTGGAGAAATATAGCAGAATTAAGCTACATAGTGAATAAATAGTTTTGCTAATTTGGAAATGTACAGAAAACTCTCTAAGCTTCATCTTATACAGAGTGGGAGTCACATGAGAAGATCTGAATCCCCTCGCTTGTGTGGCTTGCTAGCTAAGGGGGTTCGGTTCACCACTCTCCTCTCCCACATCCAACCCAGTGGAGGTGCAGGAAGGACCATAATCCATCATCAAAGAAAATATGGGATCCACCGGGCACACAAATAGGTGTCGAAGGAGAAGAGAGTTTATAGGAGAAGGAAGAAAATTAATAGAACTCCTTGAGGTCAGTTGTTCGTTGAACTTTCTTTGCTTGCTCTTTGGTATTTTCCCTGGTTCTTCACAGCAGCACTGTGGCTGGATGGGCCTAGACAAGAGGGGCTTCCTTTGGACAGACCTGGGGGGAAAGCAGCGAAGCTATGGTCAGCCTCACACCTGGACTTGCTATCACTCACTGACCCGTGATCTGAGAGCAGAGTCGGGTTGGAGGGTGACACTCACAGCTGGTCACCAAGAGGTATCTGTCCCTTGAGTCTGTGTATATGCAAAGCCGTAGACGCTTATTTGGAAGGGAGACCTGGAGGTACCTGTGAATAAGACACAAGTGTCATTTCTCACTTCTCATATGATTAAAGGTTAAGTTCAAACTTCACAGTGACAAAATGACATTGTGATAATAATGTTTAAATTGCCTTACAAATAATTATTTTGTTTCTATCATCTGTTAGAGCAATTTCAGCTTGCTCAGATAATGTGGCACAGAGCAGAGCCTCTCTTTTGAAATGGAATTACAGTGGTTCTGATAACTTGGGCTCTGACTTTGGGCAAAGACGAGGAGCTGCATTCCCATGGGAATTCACCAGAATTTCACTCACCAGTGACATCCTGTGAACACTTGGTAGAAAGAGAAACCTGTCCAGGTGCTGATCATTCTATCTACTTTTCTTCAGAGGTTTTTATACTTAATTATAGCTATTTCATAAATTATTATAGTACCTTTGGTAGATTAAATAATTCTTTCCTTTTCAAAAAGTGCAAAAGAAGATGTAAATAAGTCAAATGTATCTTAAAGTCAGACTTCAGAATCAGAATGAATTTGCACAACTGTATGAAAAAAGTATCTTTGTATACTTAATAAAAATAAGCAGAATCTAATAAAATAAGCAAATGTGTATACGGTATGAACAGAATACATAGTGTTAAATTTTTAAAAAACTTTTATTATAATAAAAGACACATTGCCATTAGTTCCCCTTCAAAATACCCCCCTTTTCCTCATACTTATTCCATGATTATTATCCTTTTGTGAATAGTCCTCTTTCGTGTCTTTAATTCAGTTATTTTGCATTTTTTTGGTTGCTGTTGTCACAACTTCACAGGACCCTTCTGGCCTTCAATAGCGAGTCCACGACATATCTGCTGAGCTAGGCACCTCCCTCTGCAGGTTCCCATAGCAACAGGTGCAGAACTCCTGGACCTTCCTGGCAACTTTTGAATCTAGGTACGTGGTTGCCTGAATGGTCAGACCTCATAAAGACATGAGGTTCAGTGATATTCCTGGAAATATGCATCTGAAAACAGTATCGACAGAGAACGTTTTGTGAAAAGACAAAGCTGAATGAAAAAGTCATAGATGCAGAAAGAGAGAGACAAAATATAAAAGCAAGAAGGTCTCAGTGAGAAGCCTCGTGAGGTTGGGTCTTGGATGTCACCCTGGAACCAAGTGGTAGTCACGGGCAGAGACGACAGAAAATGGGGAGTTAGTGTCTCAGAAAGATCACGGTTCTGGGTGGTGATGAGCTGTGTGGACAGAGAGCTTCAGAAGAGAGATGTTCACTGGAGAAAAAGGAGGGCAGGAAATGGAGAAGCCTGGCTCTCAGGCAGATTTACCAAAAGCACTCTGCGGTTCTTAAGGATGCTGATTCAGTTGGTGGTAAAATCCGCAGATGTCCGGGAGAAGGAAAACAAAATGAGTAAAGCTCTTATGAATGAAGAAATCTACACAACTGCTAATGTAGAGGACAGGAGGAAAATAAACAAGAAAACCAAGTAAAGTTCATAGAGTGGTATTTATTGCATTCTTATACATCAAGACAAGACGTGGTCTTCAGGATGCCAAAAATGACTCCGAATTTTTAAGATATGAGATGTACTCAACATATACAGCAAATGATCACACATTTCCATGAATCTCCTTCAAAATACTTCCCTCACTTAGAACACACGGATCCCATCATGCTTACCACCGGCTGAAGCAGTTTTTGGAAGTTCTCTTTCATGAGCACCATCACAAGTTATGATCAAAAATGCAGTAACTGCGGCTGCTGAGTGCCATCCAGGGACATGCAGGCTGGTGACATCACAGTGTGTCCCATGTCCTTGTCCTCCTGACTCATGGGATGGGTCCCCAGGGAGGACTTGACTTCCGGCTCTCCCCCAAAGTGAAAATGACCACGAAAGATAAATGCTTTGGGTTCAGGATATTCAGGCAATCATGACAGCACAGCCAAAGACACTCACACAAGTTGAATTCTGGAACTGCCTCCAAAACTGACCGGAAAGATGGGATAAGAGTGTTGGAAGTAGGGTGTAGTATTTTGAAGAAGATTAATACAGTGCGTCTTCTACTGTAATGAGTGCTCCTTTCACACTAGGGATTACATTCTGTCTATGACCTCAGGAAAGGGAAAATTTTGTCAAGAAATAAAAAATTACAAGCAGGTTAATACTCCAAACCCATCTTTCTCTCTATCCTTCTTTCCTTTTTACCTTCCTTCCCTCTTTTTTCCCTCCTTGCCACCCTTCCTATTTTTGTGATAGAAAAGGTTAAACCCAGGGCTCATGCATGCCATGCAAGCACCACTGAGCTACATCACTAACCTATCACTAATCCATTTTAATTTTTGAGACAAGTCTGGCTAAGTTTCCCACACTGTCCTCACAGTCACAATCCTCCTGCCTCAGCCTTCCCCGTAGCTAGGACTAAGTATGTGTCACCATACCAGGCTACTTTGTTTTTTTTTTGTTTTGTTTTGCTTTAATTCTTAAATGCTTTCATGTTGAAATAGTCTCTTGGCCTTTAATGAAAAACAATGTACAATGCAGAGAAGAAGAAACAGAAGTTTAAAAAAAACTCAGATGATGAAAAGCATAATTGCATAAACCCAATCTCAACACTAGATTAAATAAATACACCACTTGGGTCAGGATGATGACCAGCTTCCAGAATGTTCCACAGTGTGACTCCATTCCTTCCAACAGCTACTCTGCAGTGAGCGCTTGCTGCGAGACTGGATTGAGGTGTTAACTCAATGCCTGTACACATAGCAAAGCTCAAACTCAGGGAGCTATGGAAAGGAGTCAACAACCAGAGAATGATTATTAATGCAGACAGATTCTTCATTTTTCAAATACAGTAAGTGTCCAACTTATGAATAGGTTCTGTTCTGGGAGAATTATTCATCAATCAAATTCATCCATGAGCCAACAGTGACTCTCACACAGTACACATGCAAAAGTTTGCAACTCGAATGTTTGTAAGTCAGTTGGGGACTTACTGGACAGAGTTCTGCAAACACTTAAGACTTTATTTCATTTCTGAAATCACTGTCCATATCACTTCCAGCACTTCATGGTTGTGTCGATACAAATGGAAATGACTGCTCCGTGCAACCACCATACAACCCAGTAACTGCACAGGGGGTGTTTATCCAAGAGCTGTGACACTCACACACAAATGCATTGCAGTTTCATCTATCACTTCTCAGGATGAGTAAGTGTAAGTGACTCCAAAGTCCTTCGGTCATGGATGGTAAAGAAGCTACAGCCCAACCCTATTGTGGAATAATACTCAGCAGTAGCAATGAAATGACCACTGATTCACAGCAGCGAGGGTGGGTCTTCAGAGAAATACAGTGTGGACAAAACCAATCCCAAAAGCTTACACACTGTGTGCTTACTTTAATATATGTTTTTGAAAATGACAAAAATATAAGGATTTGTGAGCAGATTGGTGGGCTCCATCGGGTGCTACAATTTGTATATGGTGCACCCCCAAAGGCTATGTGTTGAGGCTTGGTCCCTGGTTGGTGCTAACAGAGATCTTGGAAACTGTAAGACCTGAGGCATGCTGGGAGGCCCTAGGACCCCTGGGAGTGTGGCTTCCAAAGGGATTGTGGGATCTGTTCTGTTTCTTAGTCCTGTTCTGCTCTTAGTCCTGCTATGAGCTGTACAGGGGTATGACTCCACACACAGCTGCCACGATTGGGTGTCCTCCCCCATTACGTCTAAGAGCAATGTTTCCACCTAGCCATAGGTAGAATGTGTGGAACTCTAATCCAAAATAACAATGTTCTCTTTAGTTATCTCAGACATTTGTTGTGGTGGCCAAAGGCTAATGGACACAAGAGAGGAGGAGAGGGACCCAGGCATGGCTGTATAAGGAGAGGAGAGAGTCCCACTGTGATAAAACTGCTCAGTGTTCTGACTGGACAAGTTTTAGTTTCTTGACTGTGTAATGTACTGCAGCTTTATAAACTGGTTAAACGCTACACAGGAGCTCTCTTAATTATTAGAATTCCACATAGGACTGGGGATTTAGCTTAGTGGTTCTGGCGCCTGCCTCGCAAGTGCAAGGACCCAAGTTTGATCCCTGATACCAAAAAAAAAAAAAAAAATCCACATAAATTTAAGATCGTCTCAAAAATGATAAACTTGGTGGGGGGATACTGTTTCCTAAATGAATTCTCAAAAAGTAGACACATTTTATATACAAGTTTAAGTGGAGAGTATTTAAATTATCATTATTAAATCATATTCAGTCTACAATTCAGATTAAAAATGCATGGGATCATTACACAGGTATTAATGCTAGTTAAACTTCTGATGTATTTCTTTGGGGCAAGAATAAAACATAGTCTGCCTCTAATTAGTCAGTAATAGTAAGTATTATTTAAATGAAAGCACATTATGGCTAACTAGTACTTTTGTAAATGCCTCTGTAGAGCATGAAAACTTCCCTAAAAGTCCTCGTGGATGCTGCTACCCTGCCTGTGCTGCTGTATCTGCAGCTCTGCACCTCTGCTGGGCAGGCACTGTACCAACCGAGGTGTCAGAAAAATTCTTTCCCTGCCATACGCAGAGAATACTAATCAGGCAAACTGTGAGCTGGCAGCTGAAGACGAAGCAAGCACAGGACCAAGAATCAGAAGCCCTCAGGCCACACGTGTAGCACAAGTCTCTGGTCCTCCCAAACTAAGAAGCAGAAGGAAAAGGGATGGAAAGGGAAATTTTGAAGCGAAGGTGGCACAATTTAGTGATAATCAGAGGAAATCACCACTGAGTCACTCATGTGACATTCAATTCTAAATGGCATAAAAATATATGTGCCATTTTGAATTGAACTAAATCACAGAAAGAACCCCAGTCAAAGAAAGGGACCTCTAGCCTCACAAGCACGGGGACTTGAGCAGACTGAAGAGGACAATCTAGTTTAAGCCAAGGCACAGCCTCCTCCAACGGTCCAGGCTGATGGCTTCTCCTTTTATCATCTCTGACCAGGAGGAACTAACCGTTCCCATGCAGATGC